TAAAATATGTAAACAGCTGTTATATGAACTAGATGTCCTTTTCCAAGATCAAGGCGAATCGAATGCCAGATGGTCTTATGAACATTGTTGCTCTGTTTTTTTTTATTTGTCGATAGCAGTACTATATCGGAAAATTCACTATAATATTTCAGGTATAGTTGAGAAGCAAACCCTACATAAAAACGTAATTAGATGTGTTGTCTATACTCATATCATAAAGAGGAAAGATTTTTATTTTTATGGATATGCTTAAAGAGTGAATTCAGATATGAAGGCTGATAGAGATGTATGGAAGAGCAGCACATACTGTGCTGACCCACCCTAAGGGTTAAGAACAAGTTGATAAAGATTTGTTTGTTTATATGTATTGAAATAACTCAAAAACTACTGGGCTGATTTTAAAAATTCTTTCACCGTTACAAAGACAATTTATCTGTGAGTAATCTGAAACATTTTTTTTAAATTTTTTTATTTCACAAAGACATAGTCTCGAGCTTTTTTTATATATCAATTCACCTTCTTTTTATATTATAGGTGAGTGTACTATGAAAGGTTAGTAATGCACCTGTGTTATATCGTACCAGTCTATTGGGAGCCGCAGCATCTGGTGAACTATTTTTATTACAATAACCGTTTTGCACCTGCTCATTGTTTCGAATTTAAAAAGCGACATCTATTCGTGTTTATTGAATCCTTCAATTTCACCGATATAAGGATCACAATAGTATAAAGTTGTATAGTGGCGATTATTTAATTTTAGCAAACACTCCACAAATAGTGTGTAAGAAGCCTAAAATACCTGAACATCCGGAGAAACGGACAACTCATGAATAAGGAAGTTTTGTTTCTGTTTATATAAAGGCGAAATAACACCTATAGATAGAAATAAGAATGCATAAATAAAGGAAATTATAAAGAATCTGCATAATTAATACAAATAGAAAGTAGATAATATAATAGCGGATTATTGTTCTGAATCACGAAACATTGAATTTTAAATTTCCTATTACGTAAACGTGAAAAAATAAATAAAATATTGTAATATGTAAAAATAAAGATTAAATAAACTGGTAATTAATTTACTATATTAAATTAATTGACTAATTTTGGAATGCTAAATTATTTTTCTATAAAAATAAAAATAAAATTATTTATCTAACTTTTAAATAACTTCTCTTTTTATTCAATTTTAAATAATCAGTTTGTAAAATTAGTGAGTATTGTAATATTTTAAATGAAAAGAAATATTAATCGCTTTTTAATACATTTGAATAAACATATTCAAAATTTAAATGAAGTCACTAATTCTAAAATGGAATACGTTTACAAACATTGTATTTTAGTATTTAATCATATAATCATATAAATATTATAAATGCGAAAGTTATGATGGATGGATGTTTGTTAGCGTTTGTAGCCTAAACGGCAGAACGGATTTCCATGAAATTTGGCAGAGATGTAGAGCATAATCTGGAAGAACACCTAGGCTCCATCTATCCATCTAAACTTTCGCATTTATAATATTAGTATGAGACGAGCCCTGCGTGTTGTTTGGTTGAAATTTTTATTCGAAACCGTTGAACTTGATTATTTCTTGTGTTTAACAAAGGTTCTTTGTTTCTGAGCACGTATTTTATTGAATCGCTCCAGATTACGTCACTGTTTACGTCATATGTATTGTTATATAATGAATATCCCTTTTTGTTAAAATATGAGAAATTTAGGGTTTTCTTTTGAAAAATACAATTAGCGATACAATATCGAAAATAATTTATTCCTTCCTATATTAAACACAAATAAAAGCGCCCCCTGGTGGGCATAAAATATAATTTTAGAATCAAATAAAAGACAAAGGAGGTCGTTTTAATCGATAATGGCAACACTGACGGAAACGGAACAGGACGTTGAATATCGTTACTCTGTATTGTAGTTATCGCGCCATGTTTGAACTACGAGAAACATAAACTCACCCATATATCTAAATGCAGCGTGAATTTACTTGTTACGCTCGTGTTTTGAGAAATCGATTCATGATGTTACATTCGAGAATACAGTTAAATAATATAGGTTTCCAAAACTAATTTATTGTGTACTTTTCTTTGATAATTATAGAACAAATGTACGTGTGATTTACTAGGCTAGATCAAAACTAACGGCTATAGTAATAAGGTTAACAGCGTGTATATTTTATACTTGTATTATTTATTTATCTTTTAAGACGATATTAAATACTACTACTGCGTTGGCGCAGTGACCCAAAGTGGGTCTTGGCCTCCGCCACGAGAGAGCGCCAGCGTCTTCTGTCCTGGGTCGTCGCTTACCAGCCGATCGACTTTAGCTCGCGCAGGTCCAGCTCTATGGCGTCTCGCCAGCGGGATATTAAATACATTAAGAAATATTAAATAATAGAGAAACCTTCGAAATTGTGTAGATGAGTAGGAGATATAGTAAATGGAGAATGGTTTTATAATGTATTCTTGTAATTACAAGATACACACTTAATTAAAATTTAATTAAATTTATCTTGATTAGATTGAGCTAGATTATTCAACTACTATTTTAAAGTTATCCACTGATTTTGTTGTTATAGTTTATTTTTTATTTTATACAGAATTCTCTATATTCGAAACACTACGTAAGGTGTATTGTTAGATTATTAATGTTGAAAACAATGAGCGCTACTGATCAAATAACATGGCAACACATATCTGAATCATGAACTTTCTTTCGAAGGATATAATATTTTAATACTTTGAATTTAGGTTCTATTTTAAAGACGTGTTTTGTGGGTTAATACGTACTCCATTCAGGTTTTTGTTTCATTGATTACTAGCTGTTCCCGTGCGACATAATCCGCATATAATTATAAAAACTTTATTTTATTGTTTACATCTGTCATATTATCAATTACAAATGTCAAAGTGACATGACATGATGACAACCTTGATGTTGGCAGCAACTTATGGTCTCTTTCCCACATTAGGATTTTTATCCAAAATATTTACCCCCTAAGTTTAATGGCGTTAAAATATAAAGCCTAAAGCGTGAAGCAAGTGTAGGGCTTTTATTATTTATATGCTGACATCTTAGGCAACGAAGAAGTGTGTGTTTACGCTTTAATATAATAGTATAGATAGAATGTAGATTAAATTACCCTTGTGATCTACTATTTATTATTATTTGCATTACCTACCATATTTGTTATATTTTAAAGTCTACAACTGCACGTGTTGCCAATAAGACAATTTGACGACGAAGAGCATAGAAGTACAAGCTACGCCGACTCTTTAGGGATAAGGGCAGGTGATAAAGATGAGTTAGGTCCATTGGCTATTAATATTCATCACATTAAAGTATATATAATCTTTGTACAAACTCCTTTTGACTTTGAATAACTATGTGAGTTTTTATTACTTTACCAGTTCTAAGTAAACTGTAATTTGATATTTTAAAACATACTTTATCTATTACGAATACGGTTTAATTTGTATTGTTACGCTGTAATGGAATATTTCAAACGACCTTGCCACTTGTATTTGCTAATGTTACGGACACCACGTGAGATGAAGCCGTTTACAATCTTATTGTGTTAAGATCGATGTATTACATGAATAGATATGGAAATTATCTATAGACGTATTACTATATACTGTCTATTTAGAACTGGAGGTCTAGCACTATTTCCAAACGTTTGTAAATTTATTGAATACTTAGTAATTTTCATGCTATGTCCCCTGGATTTGTTACAGAAGGGATAAGACTATGATAAGAGAAATGGATAAGCGAAATGTGTACTCATCTGAAACCTATAAATTTGTTTTTAATATACGTAATAATATTTTCATGAAGGTAAATTGACTGAGGGTGACCAAATGAGTCAATTTTATGATATACGAGCTGTTGCCCGCGACTTCGTCATCGTCGTCGAAAACATACGAACTATATAAATTACAAAAAGCTACGTATCCCTCGGGAACCGGACATTTCTCTGGGATGAAGCTTATCTCATGTGTACTCCAGACTTTGTTTTATATCTGTGCCAAATTTCAAAAAGATACGTTGAACCGTAACAGAATGATCGAGTGAACATTAAAAAACTAAATTAATGAATACCACGGGAACCGTAACTATTCCCGGGATAAAAAGTACCCTATGTGTTTTTCCAGACTATGCTCTAAACCTGTGCCAAATTTCATGGAGATCCGTTCAGCCGTTTAGGCTACAAACGCTAACAAACATCCATCCATCCATCTAAACTTTCGCATTTGTAATATTAGTAAGATTAGTAAGATTTCTGTAGAATTATGTTTCACTACTTTTAATCTCTGCAACATTTTGAGTACATTTAAGTGACAGGCATTTGTCTATGATAACATTAAAAATGTTACATAATTCGCAGTCGCAATTATTTCGTTATTTATAATACGTGTATGTTGAAATCCATTGTCCTCAGTGTTCAGGTTAGTGAATAAGTATTTCGTAAAGGCGGCGCATTCGACCCACTTGACTATTGTAAACGATTGTCTCATTCGATGCTTATCTATGTCTATTTATTGCAATTTTAAAATGTACACATCACAAGTGTATATTTAATTTCGTTAAAACAATCAGGCCACTCCTTCTCTTTTAGTTATATTTCCTTCTATTTTAGATTTCGTAAATAACAAACCACCAGCGGTATTTAATTATACTTAATATTATAAATGCGAAAGTTTAGATGGGTGGATCTCTGTTAGTTCGTAGCCTAAACGGATTACGGGAACGGCTAAACGGATTTCAATGAAATTTGGTGTAGATGTAGAGGATAGTCTGGAAGAACACATTGACTTTTGATTTTCTTAATTCCACGCGGACGTAGTCGCGGGCGAAAGCTAGTAACTCTACAAAGTAATTCACTGAACTCAAATTTTAGCTTTCAATATGACCAAAAGTTATAATTTAAAAGACCAAAGCTATAGTTGGATTGAAAATAGAGTGTAAACGTTTATACTTGTTCCCAGGAGTCGCCGGAGGTCCGAATGCCGGGCGGCGTGGAGCTCCGGGCGCCGGACCCTGCCGCGCTCGCCGCATACTGGGCGGAGTACGAGGATCTCTGCCGGCAGATCAGCACAGCGCACCAGAATGATGACGATGATAATCATTACGAAGGTGTGTACAAACTTGATGGTTCTTAATTTTATGCGAAATATTTTTCTATTTTAAGGTACCGTATTTTATAGTCTGTAAGAAAAAATGAATCTCCAATGTAACATGTATAAGTTTCTACCTAAAGGCATTGCTGCGATAAAAAGTTGCTTTTTTAAAAATCTTAATGCGTGCAAATACAATAATAATAATATTACGAAAATATTATATTAACGAACTAGTTTTAATATAATTCAAAATATCAAATCAAAAACCAATTGCTTCATTGCCTATTTCAATGCTTTTACAAGTAATAAAAAAATGTAACATCGATTAACACATGTATTAGTTAAAATTAATTAAGGTCGATACATGTAATAAGTAATTTAAAAATATTAAATAGAAACACGAAGGTTAATTATAACCGCAAGCGATAATTTTCAGTAAGACAGAGATTACGACATTTAAACCTCGTTTGCACTTAGCCGACACTTCCGTGCGACTTTTATTGGTGTGAGAAATACAAATATATCCAGTACGGAGCTACGATTGCTCTCCGCTAATCACTCAGTGGAAAAAGTATCTTAACATCAATAAAACCACCTGTGTGAAGCGTTAAGAAAAATTTTCGCTCCAATTGGCATGTATTAAGAACCGCTTGAGAGTAATCTCTTTAGATAAGTTAATGTTATCCGGTTGGCTAACACCGGATTCTGTGCATGTTAAGGCCGAATAACATTCGCACGTCTTTCATAAATACTTGAGACGTTAGACTACGGAAAGTCCGTTCAGAGGTTTTAAAATACCAACTGGACTGTTCATATTTCGATATCTTCACCTGCTACATAATCGTATAATCACAATAAAAATCTCCATCCATATATGTGTATGGAATCCAATTAAATAAGAAAAAGAAATTTCGAGTTAACTTTTACTCGTCGGCCCGAGAGGCCTCCAAGAAACTGGTTTGAGGCCGTCCCCACGGCAAGGCCGGCCCACCCAAAATCTTACACCATAACGCCGTATGTCAACTTTAACTTTATTATTTGTCAAACGAACATATTTTCCATATAATGAAATAAGCTATTTGCTAATCACATATCGGTAATGAGTAATGACAGTATTGGTATTTAAGTTTGGATGTTATAAAATAACGAAACTTTGTCGAAAACAAAATCAAATCAAAAGTATGAGCAGATTGTTATTTATTTATCACTAGCTATTGCATGCGAGTTTGTCCACGTGAAATAAAAAATATGGCCTATGTTACTCACAGATAAACTATCTTTCTATCGGTGAAAAAATTATTAAAATCGGCTCAGTAGTTTTTATCTCATGTACAAAAATCCAAATAATTCCTCTGTATAATATTAGTATAGATATGGAAGACTCACTTACCATCTTGTTATGATAACTTCATGTTTCTTGTTTTAATGTTCCGCGAATTTAAATTACTTATTGTTTTCCAACCTTCAATTTTCTAAGAGGTTATTCATTATTACGTCAAAATCGTATAGAAAAAGTAACCTTACATTTCCTTCATCATTTACATATTCAGAATTGAGTGAAACGTGAACTAAATGATGTTACGAGGAAGTAAACAAATACAGAAGCAATGCGCTAAGGACGAAGCAAACGCCCGTGCCAGCTTCCTGTTTGACTACATTTTTTAAAACAATCGAGCACAGATAATATGTACAATGTTAACAACCTACAGTTACTACAGATTATAAAAAAAGAAATTAATAAACCGATTTTGTTGTGATAAATCCATTGATAAATTAATTTCAGATATATTTTTTTCTTAAAGTTGTATTTTCTATAAATGTAGAACAAAATACACAAATTAAAACGATTTACGGTTTCAAAGCTTTAAACTTTCTATTAGAAATGTAACCAACACACGTTTATTACGCTTGTGTAAACTATATACTATGTGCACTATATTACTATTATTGTAAGAAATGTAATTTTACAAACCATACGACAGAGCTCTTACCGCAATTACGTTTTCGTTTTCCCGCGTTTTGCAGCGCTGGCGGGAAACGTATCACTATCGTAATGGAATCGATTATCTGACCACAAGATATCGATATTGAAGCGGTATCCGATTGATTGATATCGGTTTTGCAATATTTGGCTAATAAGATCCGCATTCTAGTTGCATTGCAAAATATTTTATGAATACGTCCCGTAATGATTCCTTTTTAGGTTATCTTTTTACGTTTTCAATTACTTGAAGACGTAAAATATTTATTATATTTGTACTCAATTTGGCAATTACTTAATTTGTATTCTATGTATATTGTAAGCAGCAACTATTGACCAATGTACTGAACAAATGTTGATCGATAAAACAAGCGCTGGCAACACTCCCATCGCATTTCTCAATCGCCTAACGCAACCCTTTCGCCTGCAGTGCCCGCGGCCGTAGCATGACGTATATACACGGTCGTACGCTAAAGGTCACTGGAACAGACATAGGATTTAATATGACTTCTATAGTTATTTTTCAAACTCACTTTGATTGAGTATTTGAAAAATATGGAGGAAATACTTCTTTAAAGCCAATGCTGCAAAGAGGCATTTTCCAATGGAAGCATATTATTCCTAGTAGATTACAACAATTCTATTGAATTTACAATTAGCGCTATCATGGAGCCTTAATACTATAATAAAACTACTTAAGAGCACAACGTTTGTTTACTAATTACTAAAAGTATTAGTAGGATCACAGAAAACGTTAGGACTCTGGCGTGACAATTCAACAAAATTGCTGTCAAAAATACCGTTTCAAACGTCTAAGTGAAAGAATTTTTAACGCTATCTCCATAAACACAAACTCATTAACGGGCCTCTAATTTGAAGACAATTTTGGCGCCGACCGACTCTGCTATGAACTGCGTGTGCAATGTTTACTCTGGCTGGCTGTCAGCCTCGCGACCATTAATGCGGTTACCGCCGTTATTTTTACTGTTACCACGATTTTGGCAATCTCAAGGATAGTCTTGATAGACGCAAATGAAAAGATGCTTGTTTAAAAATAACAATAAGAGATTTTTGTTTCTTTAATATATTTAGTATAAAGCACATTGTACATTCGACAGACTGGTATCTGCGAAATTATTTAACGTAGTTTATCTGTTAATTGCAGCTATTTATGTAGGTAATATAAGAACTAACCAATACAAGTATCGAATTCTTTAGGTATCTTGCTTTGACAAGAAAAACTAGTACTGTTTTCACTTATCGATCGTCCTGAATTGCTTTTAATATATGGTGACCCTTGTTATATCAGAATGAGATTCAGTATAACGGGACGTGTGAGGGGCGGTACGTGCGAGGTGCGACTGCGGCCGTCAGGGTCACAAGGTCGCGTTCGAATGCCACACTACTGTAATATGAAGGACGTGCAATATACAAATGCACTCGCAAATAGGCGATTGTAGAGACGACTTTTGATTGGTGGTTAAAATAACAACCAGACCCTTATGATGTAAATACTTATAGGAAGATTCTTGTACTAAACTACACCAACAAATAAGAATGGCAGTTTATAAAGATCTATGACTTAACTTTGGGGCATTCCATAAAGTCTTCCGTTAGTCAGAAACATAGATAAGCTAAACAGATGCGGTCTCAAGACCTTAAAATGAATTAGAATTGTCTATTACATCATGTTTATCAACACGCGAACCTTGCGACGAAATGCGATAGTTGATAAACAAGGCAGCCGTAATGAATGTATCTGATAGACTGAACATTGGCTTCTCTAGCGTATTTGGTTGCTTTATGCTATTAAAACTTACGTTAGATAGAACTAGAAATTAAAAAGTAATCTTTTTAGCAAAGTTGATCTAATCTAAGTAAAGACAAAACAATAGATAATTCGAAACGTGCTCGGGACATCTATACTAATATAATAAAGCGTAAACACACACTTCTTTGTGGCTTAAGATGTAAGCAATTACAGCATATTTTTGAATACTTTTTTAATAAAAATCCCTACACTTACTTCATGCTTTAGACTATACATTTTCATGCTAATATACTGAAGGGGTAAATACATTGGAAAAACCTTCATGTGGGAATGGACCATAAACTACAAGCTGCCAACATTAAGGAAACAAGGTTATTGAGGCAACGGTAATTTTGAGATTTGCAATTGAGAATTTGACAAATATTAACAGAAAAGATAATTATTATTTCATGTGGATGAAGCCGCACGGGACTTCTCTGGTACAAACTATGCAGATATATATCTAGTATATAACTAAATATTCAACGTCTTTTGCATCGGAATTTAATTATATTGTTACAAAGCAGCAAAACAAACAGCAGTTTAGGTTGGATTATATACAAACGAGCTGTTGCCCGCGACTTCGTCCGCGTGGTATTAGACAACATACGAACTATATAAATAACAGAAAGCTAGGTATCCCTCGGGAACCGGACACCTCAGGGATGAAGCTTATCCTATGTATACTACAGACTTTGTTTTACATCTGTACCAAATTTCAATAAGATATGTTGAACCGTTGCAGAATGATCGAGTAAACATTAAAAAACTAAATTAATGAATCCCACAGGAACCGTAACTTATCCCGGGATAAAAAGTAGCCTATGTGTTCTTCCAGACTATGACTTGACTTCTAAACCTGTGCCAAATTTCATGGACAGCCGTTCAGCCGTTTAGGCTACTAACGCTAACAAACATCCATCCATCCATCCATCTAAACTTTCGCATTTATAATATTAGTAAGATGTATTATTAACACCAGTATATAATTATATTCTACTGAATAGACAGATGTATTAATCCAAATGATTTTAAAATCAAAGTAATTCAGAGTTCCGGGATATATGCTCGGTAATAGTCGTGCTGAGGTATTCTCGAGTTGTAAATGAAAATGCCGGCCGCCGGGCGCATGCTAATCGCTCTCCAAGCATACAGCAAACATACCAGAAGAACGCATTCTTACTCGTAATCTAACATCTGAACTGTCGAGGAATGTCTCACAAGT